AGAACCTATTGCAATAAAACGGCAATTTCATACTTTAACCCCTAATAATTTATGTTGATTGGTCGAATTAAATAGTTGAAACACGTTGGAACAATGCACATTGTCTGTGGTATTAAAAGTTTCAACTAATATTAATTAAAGGAAAATACAAATCTGACACAGCAATTTCAGGAAAAAAGTAGGACGGTAACGATAAATTTATTTAAAACTTATACTATATCTTTCCTTACAGCTTACGCACGAGTAGTGAGATTGTTATACTAGGTCTTAGTTTCAGATTCAACTATCAGTTTATGGGTCACTTTTTCCTTCACTGGAAGGAACGGAATGACGTCGTCGGCTTCCTTCATTTGGGAGGTAGGAATCTAGAAAAGCAAAAGATAACTGAATCTCAAAGATTCAAATTTCGTAAATTGGACAAAGGTTTTAGGATAAGCCTAGTGACTATTCTGCATACTTTTAGTAGAGAAAAACCGACAACTCTTACTCTACTAAGTGGTCAAACTTCATCAAACATATTTGAAAGTTAATTATTGCATTTAACAATATAAGTAACGTGATTTTGCTTAACTGCGTAATAAACTTGAGACAAAAATTTTAATAGAAGAAAGAATAAAATTATTATACTCACTTTTAAATCTTGTGCGTTAGATTCTTTAGAAGTGAATTCTCTTAGAACATAGTTGGTGTTGAGCATGTGGAACATTCTGGTCTCATATGACCTAACTAGCACATTGTCCACTCTAAGGAAGTATCGCAGTAGTACATACCAGTAACACGGCATTACTCTCTGAGAATGAAGCATAACATAGTCAATATAATTTCATATGGAAATCTTTGAGTGTAATATCTAATTTAATTGTCACCGAGTTTTTTAACATTTCTACAATGATATTAGGCAGGGTGGTGTTAATAATTTTTATTTTAGATTTTATACATAACAATTCTAATAACTAATAAAATCAGAATCTGCCTGGTTCAACATTCTGCTCTAATCTATTTACTTGGCATTTTATTTAATCAACCCAATAATTTGATGATCAGTTTAATTCATAAATATCTTACTTGGTAACAATGGACAAAGCAACTATATGGGGAGGCCCATTTTTAGAGCCCGTTTGGTCCAAAAATTTTTTTTAGATAGAGAACATTGTAACGACCCACATAAAATAAACATTAGTTTCGCGAAAATCAACAGTTTAGAAGCAGTGTTGGGCATTAATCAATTAAATTTCAATCAGAAATTCAATCAGATTAAAAAAGCAATTCAATTTAAATCAATTGCGACATGTCGCAATTGATTTCAGTGTTAGGGGGTCGGTTGGAGGGCGGTTGAGGGGTCCGTTGGGGGATCGGTTGGGGGGCGGTTGGGTGGTCGGTTAGGGGATCGGTTAGGGGATCGGTTGGGGGGTCGGTTGGGGTGTCGGTTGGGGGTGCGGTTGGGGTGCCGGTTGGGGGCCTTCTGGGGGACCGGTTAGAGGCTGGCTGGGGGGTCGTTTCGGGGTTCGGTTGGAGGGTCGGTTGAGGGGCCGGTTGGAGGGCCGGTTGGGGGGCCGGATGGTGGCTCGGTTGGGGGGCCGGTTGGGAGGCCGGCTGGGAGGCGGTCACGGGTAGGTGGCCCACATTGAAAATGGATTAATTGTTAATTGTAGATTAATTAATTGTTAATTGCGGTTCTCGCAACTAACAATTAATCAATCGTTAATTGCTGTTTCGCAATTGACAATTAATTAATTGTCAATCTTTAATTGCCAGAACAATTAAATTTTGCCCAACACTGTTTAGAAGTTATGATGTTTTTATGTACTTTTTGAACATTTTCTACTCTAGTCACAAAACCACTCTACTTTGAAAATTATTCCACTAAGTTCGAAGTAGTGTGATCATGCAGCTAGCACGCAATGAGCCATTATTGTGTTTAGTCTGAGACTGCGCCGTTATTTTAGATATTTAAGACATTTTTTATTTCTTCGCGAACAATTTATTATATTTTCAAAAAAATCCTGACTTTTAAAAATGTACAATTAGGATTTGCTAATGACCTTAAAAACTGCCTTAAGATGTAGGGATTGTTTACAAATAAAATTGTAGTGTTGCAACTGTTGTAACATCTTCATAAATTGACATGACGTGCACCGAGTCACTAAAAAACAAAATTGATAATTTGTGTCATAATCGTTATTCAAACAATTTTAGCTTAACTTAACTTTTTTTCCAAAGAAAACATGAGTTCAACTCAGATTTACCTTAATTATTATCAATTACAACAAAATAACAATTATTATATTATCAATCTCTTCATAATGTACACGAAAAGAAAATGCTCAAGAACAGGTAAAATTTAAGCCCTACTGATACAGAGAACTTTCGTTGTTGTGTGCCAGTGTTATAAATAGATGTTAAAAACAACATGTTTCACAGCCTTTTTACAAACAATAACAACAGACTTCCACTGATTAGCCTTCATGTGCTCAAAGTGCATTAGCAGAAAGTTGTTGTTTGTCACTTGGGCCTACTACAGCTATCCAACGGTATTGATTGATTTCTTTGCGATTTTACTTCCTACTAGCAAATCATGTCATGTTTTCATTCTGTTTATAACACATACACACAACATTGGAAGTTGTCAGTATCAATAGGGCTAAAATTTTAGCTGTTTTTGAACATTTTCTTTTCGTGTACATTATGGCGATTAGAGATTGGCTTAATAATAATTAAGGTAAATCTCAGTTGAACTCATGTTTCCTTTTGAGAAATTAATTAAAATTGTTCTTCTCAAATTGTCAATTTTGGTACATAGTGACTCGGTTTTCTTTTATAATATCTAGTGACGGGATGAACAAGTCATGCGCCTGATAGTAAGCTACACGCCTGTCCATAACAGTTGCAGTGCCACTCAGAGCTTTAAATCGAAAAGATCTGAGGGGCATTGCCACTGCGCCCTGAGACACACCCTTCAAAACAGGAACGCAGTAATGCTGATATTACTGCTTGGCGGCAGAAATAGGTAAGGTTCAGATCATGTCAATTTATGAAGATGTTACGAAAGTTGCAGTAAGGATTTAAAATATCGGCGCAATCTAAGAACAAACACAAAAATGGCTCATTGCATGCTAGCTATATGGTCACACTACTTCCACACCAAATTCCCATTAATTTAGTGGAACAGTTCTCAAATTAGAGTAGATTTAGTGAGTAAAGTGGAAGTTTTCAAAAAACTACATAAAAATCATAACTTCTAAACTATTGGTTTTCCCAGAACTAATGTTTATTTAAAATGGCTCTTTATGTCCTCTATCTAAAAAAAAAATATTGGATCACTGTAAATGGGCCATTTTGTATAATGTAATGTCTTACCATAAAGTATTATTACCATCAAATTAATAATATTTTAATATCAAAATATCACTTACGACTTTAACTGAAAGCTTGGAAACGCCGTGATCATGAAGTTCATCCTCAAACAACGTCAGATCGTGGTAGAACAAAATCTGATCTTTTCGTTTTAGTATCTCAAAGTTGATCTCTTCATCGGTGTTTTCCACTATAATATTGTCAGATAGCGTTCCTTTGTAGTCAGTTGAAAATGTCCAGTCAAATGGACGCTTCGGTTTTGAAGCATCAGGTCTAAAGAACAATGGCCTCTTATTTTGGTTTGAAATTTGTTAGAAATCCTATACATTCTGATTATTTTATCTCAATGGAATATACACGTATTTTTTAACTGGGACAGTATAGGTAAATCTGAAACCATAGGAGGTACAGGAACACCGTCTTAGGAACCAATAGATCTTTTTTGTGAAAACATTTTGAACATTTTTGGTGAAATCTGAAATTGACTATTCTTGACTAATTATTTTAATGCTGACCGACGCAGTTTCTTGTAAGGATCATTTCAATACACCAGAAGAAAAAAAACGGGACAGCAGAAGTTAGTCAAATTTAATAAAATGTTTTTTTCATACATAATAGGAGAATGCAATGCACAAAATCATGGTTGAAGTTCATATGGTCAAGTCACTTAAGAAAAATACCATAATTTAATTTCATGTCGAGAGGTAAGTAGGTACTAAAGTAAACTGAAATATGGAATGTTTTTATGGCACTCTAAATTCCAAATTCTTTGAAATAAATTTGAAAATTATAAAACTTCAAACCAATGTTGCTCAACTGTGACTCTGAGGGCGCGTTCCCATTATGTCGTAATGTTTTATTTAATGTTGGACGACTGTCGCGTCTAGCCTGTTCCCGTAACACGACTCTGTCGCGACTATGTCGTGGGCGTTTATTTTATCGTTGAACTACTGTCGTGTCTAGCTGATCCCACTAGATGATGACGACAATTTGTCGGTTGACGGCAGCCGCCGTGTCGTTTGCACGACAGAATCGTTTGAAGCTGCGAATATCTGTCGTCACATTTTTATCGTGACGTTTTATTTATCGTCAGACGACTGTCGTTCTAGCTCTTCTCATTGTCACGACAGTCTGTCGATGTAACGTTGAAAAAGTCGTGAACGACAGTTAATCGTGTTTTACTATAATATATGTGAATAACTTCATTTAAATATGCAAGACACGACACTTTAAACTGCATGACTATCTGTCGTCACGACATGATGGGAATGCGCCCTCATATGTTATAATCAGTTTATAGTAAGCCTATGAAATGGCCACCAGGTTCACCCAATACGATCCCATATGCTTCTTCCATATGGGGGTAACCTTAAGGGTCGAGTTCATGAATCCTAGTACAACAATCATGCGGGAGTTAAAAGATACTGTTCATTATCATTTAAACAACATTCACCACATGACTTTGTCATGCAAAGACAAAGATCCATATTAAACAGTTGTTAAACAAAATTACGAGTAAACAGCATTAATTCAATGAATATAACAAAATGTATGAAAAAAATAGTTTATTAAATTCCCAAGACCAAATTATTATTCCAATACAATGAAACGATCTTTATAATAAACTGCGTCAATCGGCATAAAAGAAAGAAAATATTACATTTTTATGGACAACTTTTGATAAAAAAATTCACTATGCGAAAATAGTTTTCACAAAAATACACCTAACGGTTCGTAATTCCTTGGATCTCCTTAGTTTTGTCTGTCACCATAGGAGATACAAGGAAAATAACACTGTACACTGAGGCAATCAACAGTTGGTTAATAAGTATACAAAAATGCATAGAATATATCCGTGGCTTGATACAAGAAGTGCCTAAGTTCATATTATTTTTGCATTTTTTGTACCAAACCACAGACATTATAATGTAGACAGCATAGTAGGTTCTAAAATTAGGCAAGAGATTACTTATGAAAAGATCAATGCCACTACTATCATGCAAGACGAGGATCCTTAAAATCTTATAGAGAATTTTATGTTTTACACTTTGGTAAAATAATGAGGGTAATGATTTTCAACAAATTTAGAGAAAATGTAGCTTACCTGGCCTCTAACCAAGCTTCAGAACATGAAACTTCAATGGCATCCGCTGTAGAAGCCACATGCTTCAGAGCATCCAGAGGGTCAAAGTGTATCTTAGCACCACTTGTATGGGTAAGAGTTAAAATGTTCTTTGGGAACACCATATCCGGAAAGTGTGGTATGCTGAGTTGTTTGCAATATCTGACAAATAATAGAATTGTGAATTACTTCTCTCAGAATAAGAGGCTGACTAAGGCCCTGTTTCATTACTAAGAGAACTATTAAGTAATTTTAAATTAATACTTATACAGTGTTATATGACTGAAAACATCATCATAACAGTTTTATTATGTTTTAAAATTGTATAATGACCTAAACACAAAAATGTAAAGGTAAAAATTGTAAATAAAAATTAAAAATAAACATTTTTTTTATAATATCAAGTGACACGACAAACAAGTTGTGTGCCTCATGGTAAGTTACATGCCTGTCCATAACAATTGCAGTGCCACACAGAGCTTTTGATTGCAAAGATCAGAGGGGCACTGCCACTGCACCCGACACCCTGAGACATAAGTTGATAAGTCTCATGTGACGACAATTTCACCAAGCACCCTTGACCTTCAAATCCAGAACACAGTAATGCGTCAGAAATAGGTAAGGTGGCAGTACTTCCCTGGATGACCCCTTACACAAGCTCTACTGCTACTAAAAACACCAAATATTCACGAAGTGTTACTTGATAACTTTTAGACATTACTCACATACAAAACTGACAAAATTGATCATCGTTTCGCTCACAGACCACCTTCGTAGAACACACACTCGGTAGTATACAACTCACATCGTACGAAATATGCCAAGGTCCGTACTCAATCGACTGAGAGTTCGTTGTGAATCGACCGGAATCCACCCTGCTTTCCTGTAAAAGCTTAGCTTGGTAAGGAGGAACTCCAATAACAGTTTAGCATGAAAATAAGATTGAGTACTGTTGTACCTCATGTGGGAACATGGATTTCATTATCTTTTCGTCACCTAAAAGAATTACTTCAATTTAATTACATGTAATTCGCCAAGTATTTCATTGAAGATAACTTAAACAACGCGTATAAAACCAAGCAAGACTTTTTTGGCACAAAACTTCACTTCATTTTGACACTAGCTTTCAGTGTTGCCTAATCCGAATTTTAAAAATCCGTAGGGTGACACTGATAAATTCGTAGATTTACAGATTTTTCTGTAGCTATCTTACTATTTGCTTAGTTCCTATTTGGTTAGGAAATGACGACGAAAATCCGAAGATCTGCCACATTGACTTACAAATAAATGGACGACGGGTCTAATACAAAAACCACGAAAAAAATGTCCCAAGTCAACCTATTCGAAATTTAAATTGTAATGTCATCGCAGTATCGCGCTGTCAGTAGAACAAATGAAGACTAAAGCGGAGATAGCGCTCTGTATACGATTTTAGCGCCTTACAAGTGCGGACAATTTTTAGCGCGGACCCGACGTCCATATAATTGTAAGTCAATGATCTGCCATTAATTTCTACTTTCACACAAAATCATGCTGGAATTGCAATTACATTTAAATAGCCACCCCAAATACAAGTTTAATTACACCTAATCTTATTAGGTGTGTTTCGGTCGTTTATTTCAGTTTAGGCAATAAAAACTTACTTACGAATTAAATACATACGTTTAGTATGTCCATTTATGTATAACTCAAAATGAATAAAAAATTTCTTAGTTTTGTCCGTGTTCGGTAACGTTTTCTATTGAAAATGAAACATTATATTGTAATTGGATAGTGTACCATGACCATAAAATACCTAGATAAAGGGATGACAACGTTTATGTTATATGTTTATAATCGATCGACTCTTTTTTAAATAGACTTTAAAAAAGAAAATTGTTTAATTACCGTAGCTAAATATAAAAAATAGTCTATTTTAATTAAATTTTTATTGAATTGATATTCAGTTATATTTTGTGAAATTACTCCACTAGTTTGTTATAATTATTAATACAAAGATCGAACACTCAGAAAAATTCCTTTCCGATCCGACCAGATCAAAGGAATTTTTCTGAGTGTTCGATCTTTGTATTAATAATTATAACAGTCTATTTTAATATATATATTTACATTGATTTTTTTTTTGTTAAGAGTTATACTTGCGTTTTTTCGTAGTTTAAGCCCCTTCGACCTTTAGACAGCCTTCTTTTTAGCATTATACATTTACAGAATGATAACAAATACCACGGACTATTTTTAAAGGACGATACTGTATAATAGAAATAAAAAATACATGTTCGTTTTTTTTAAATACCTGACAAATAAATAAGTCTGTTGAAATAAATGAGTTGACGTCTCAAATTTTCCGAGAAATTGTGAATAATATTGACATCCGAGGATTTATAAACACCCTTGTCTCAGGGTGATGGACGCAGTGCCAGTACCCCTCAGATCTTTGCAATTTAAAGCTCTGAGTGGCACTGCAACTGTTATGGACAGGCGTGTGTAGCTTATCATCAGGCGAACGACTTGTTCGTCCCGTCTCTTGATATTATAAAAACAAGTTGGTGGAGTATGAGCGCGAGTTTATTGACTGGGCGCTGGTAAAGAGGTCCCGGATTCGATTTCCGATAGGATATGCTAATTGCTGTGGTTATTGCTTGCCCTTCATTTATTTGTAATTTTCGAAGCATTACACGGTCACTTTTTAAAGCATCAAATGCACCAATAGTATTTTATTTCGTCAAATCTTTGAGCTTTGTTGAAATACAGAGGCTGTTTAACTTCATTTATTTCACAAAAAAACATAGTATACGGTCGGGTGACCTGGGAGACTTAGGTACTGGTCCGCCGCGGCTTATCCATCGATTTTCGTACTCACTCGTTAAATAACCGTAACGTAAGTTTTTAACTGCGGGTGTGATGTGTAAAAATCATTATCGATTCTCAAGATGTCCATGCAATCAATGACGTATGTTACAAATTAGATATACACTTCCTTTATTTTTTTCCATTCTCTGTTAAACACGCGTATGCCATCACTAGTGAGTACGACCGCGACTGACGGTGTTGCCAACTTGTGGGGAATTCCCCAAATTAAGCGAAATTCCAACTTAAATGGGGTGTGATGTGTAAAACTCATCGATTCTCAAGATGTCCATGCAATCAATGACGTATGCTACAAACTAGATATACACTTCCTTTATTTTTTTCCATGCTCTGTTAAACACGCGTATGCCATCACTAGTGAGTACGACCGCGACTGACGGTGTTGCCAACTTGTGAGGAATTCCCCAAATTAAGCGAAATTCCAACTTAAATGGGGATTTAGTAACGATTAGCGTTATGTGGGGGTAAATGCGGCGTTTCTAAGATTTTATAATTTTTTTAATCTTTCGATTGCTGTTGCATGCTAGTTTGATGATTACTGATAAAAATGCTATTTGTTTATTTTATTTATTTATAAATGATATGGATATTTTTTTCAACATCGCACTGCAACTGTTATGGATAGGCGTGTCGCTTACCACCAGGCGCACGACTTGTTCGTCCCGTCATTTGGTATTATATAAAAAAGTGTTTAATAGACATGAAATGAATAGTGATTTGGCTAGATACCGGGTATCCGTCGAGCACCTAGGCCGGATAGCAGGACACTGTCGCAAACATGTAGCGAACGGCTTACAGCGAGCATCACAATGATTGATTGATAAATGAGTTCTTTCAGTTATAAGTAATAAACAGATTGTCAATGATCCTTTAGTTGCTGTATATTCTATTACTATTATTTTTAATCAATAAATCAATTTATTTAGCGTACTGATTATGAATTTTTCGCAGGCTTAAATATCCGGTGTCCGGCTAGATGTTATTCTACTATTCGGTATCCAGTCGGATAGTAAATATATATATATATATATATATATCCTAGGGAAGAATATAACAAATACTGAGGATGAATAAATACTATTAAATGTGGGGAATTTGTGAGGAATATGAATTTTGCTCTCCCTAAATTTAAGGATTCTAACCTTGATTTTTGGGGATTTTGAATAATTCGCATTGGCAACGCTGTGGGCCGATGAAGTCGATGAACAAAATACAAATCAATATGGCCGACTTTTACCGGTTGGTTTGTCTATTTTGATAATTTGAAGAAAATTTCACGAAAATTATCTTATCATAAACTTTATACTGTTGTGAGGCCTTTGGATACTGTTTTCTGTGTTCGTTAGATACTGTCTGTAATTATGGAAGCACTTATACCAGTTATCAATAAGTTACAAGACGTTTTTAATACTGTTGGAGCTGATGCCATTCAATTACCTCAAATAATAGTTTTAGGAACTCAGGTAGATATGTTTTTGTTGTTATGTATTGATTAAAAAAGTGTATATGCCTTTTGGGGGGTTGAACGATGAATCGCAGTTCCAGTTCCCCAATAATTGGTTATGTAAAGATGTCAAGATTGGGTTCTTTGTCCCCATTCCATCGGCGTGGGGTAAATGGACTACCATGTCATTGACTGCCAGGCAGAAGTAACTTCCCGTAGCAAATTTTTGTAATTGATATAAAATTGTATAGTTTTCTATTCATACTGGATTTATCTGGTTTATTTAATAACTGCTATGCAATAAGCTAATATATTAGCACATATTATGAATAATTGGTAGTAAATTATAAGCCATGGTAACTTAAACCCTCACATGAGAGGAGATCCTTGCCCAGCAGTGGGATGTATAAATGGGTTGGTGATGAAATAATAATAGTACGCCAATGCACCAGTTATGTGTGGTCTCAAACTAGGAAATTTTATAAAGTACTTTCAGTACCAGAGTTACCAAATTATCTTTGGGGTACTACCCTGAAAAACTCACTCGAGAAACAATCTAGAACCTTTCGTTTCTAAATATTAATATAAATATTTTGCAGGGAATTAAACAAATGATCTCCTTATCAAGTGCCCATACTGATAACTACTTGGCTACCATGTTCATTGTATATACATTTGCCTATTGTACTTTGACAGGTCTATCTATCTTATTGCTGAATACTGCTCACAGTCCACAATGCTGTTTTAATGTGGAAACTTCACATATGACAGATTTTTACTGATATAAAGTTATAATCAAAATCGAAATAAAAAATATTTGTTTACCAATTTATGATATGTCTCCATTTATACCAACAGAGTTCAGGTAAAAGTTCAGTGATTGAAAGTCTAGTTGGGCGATCATTCTTGCCGCGAGGCCCAGGTATTGTCACTCGGAGACCTCTTGTCCTACAGCTGGTATATAGTCCTAAAGACAGTAAAGAACATCGCTCGGCTGAAGAAGGTTTGTAATAATCAATTTATTTGTAATGGAAAAATATTTGGTTACAAAGTCTCTGCATCTGTCACAATATAAATCATAAAAGTATAATTGATCTGCACTTTATTATAATGTTAAAATTGGCACCACTTCCTTTACATAAATTTTTGTCATAAAATTTTTGCAGAATACTGTAAATTATTGACTCTTGTCCACTAGGGATGTCCTTTCATTATTTCAGTTTTGATGTAAATGAATTTATGATTAATGACTGATTTCTTAATGTTTGCATTATGAAAAGAAGGTTCAGTCCATATCTGATTGATCAGCATTATGTAAGAAACATTATTGATTCTCTTATCAATTATTCACTTATTTTTAGAAGTTTAATGAATTTAATTAAAATGTATATCTATACTACTGTTTTCTAAAGTCCTTATTGGTTCTTAATTCATCTGCAAATATGAACAAGATAAATATAAACCAAACTTAGTAAACTATACTATAAAAATTTGATGTGTTGCGTTATCATTTTAACCAAAGAACTAACTCCTTTGTCTATATCAAATTCACCTACTCATCTACATACTTAGAATCATTAACCTACTTTTTTTACAAATCATAGTTTATTTGCTTGACATAAATTTGTTGTGGTTTAACATTAAAATGGTGAACCAATATTAATTAAATAGTAAACTATTGAATTGTTAGAAGGAAAAAGGCTCAAATGGGGGAGTTTAATTATTGCAATAAGAAATTCTTATTAGATCATACAATAAACTACTACATTTGTATGCCTTTGATGTTAGTTATATGTGGTACTTGGTACTTGGTGCAACGGGCTGATAGTTATATGTGCTTCTGCATTTGTTTTTTCTCAGGGTTAAGATTTGCTAATCTAAGTCAAAAATGATCTATCCAACAAATTGTGTTCAAATCTGTTTTGTTTCAGCAGTAACTAACACCCATCCAACTTTTTCTCAGCTTTTAAGGTTAAATATGTATTGTGTTTTTTCTAATATTATTGTAAATTTACAAAAAATATATTTGTATGAACTCACTATGCATGTCCACTATTGTCCACAATTAATTTTATGTTCATTTTTATCTCATAGAAGTCAACAAGGTAGTAATAGTTGTATAGCATGACTAAGAACTTAAATATATTACACTTTCAGGAAAGGAATGTACATTTCAGGTGTATGTGTTTCTCTTATTTTCTGTTATGATTAACCAAGCTCATAGGAACTTGATCTGCTATTGTGTTGGATGTATTGTATAGGATGAAGGAACACAAGGGAACCAGTTTAATACTATTATTTTTACTATTTTGATGGAGCTTCTAGACCTTCAAAAAGGCGATCAATTTTTATATGGTATTATTTTAGCCTTGCGCACATTGACTTACTGCGCACTTAAAATTCTAGCTAATTAGAGACATCCATTGCTAAGTGAATTTGCTTTTTTTTGGAGAAATAAGTGTCAAGCTCAATAAAGATTACAGATACAAGGAACCTAAGGGTATTCCTATAGGTCATTGTGTTGTTGCAACATTGACTGCAAGAATTACGTTTTAAGTTTTTGTCCTTAACACGCGATCGGTGCGTGTACCATTTCAAAGGCATGATAATAATGCATTCTTATTGTGTTAATAGATCAATAGGCTTATTATTGATTGTAATATCGGTATTCTGCTTGACATAATCCTATGACCTTAAACTTGAATGTTTTGCCTGTTATTATTAAGTACACTCCCTTATTTGGTTGGTTGATGTACTTAAAATTGGGGTTAAACCTTAACTAAATTAGAAGCCATCTACTTTTTGTCATTAACATTTTTTGCGTCTTATATCTTACACAGGTATAAATGATGATAGTGATAAAATAATGGTGTCGTCTCATAATTCTTATAAATTCGTATATGTTTGCAGTCAGCACTATTTGTTTATTCACCTAAGATCTTACAGTACCTACCAGTACAACTTTGATTATAATATCTTGAAACCAGTCACATGAAGCGATCACGTATTGTTTGTAATAATGCCAGTTATCGATGCATATTGAACGTATCCGTCGCGCCACTCCTATTTATTTATCAAAATAAATGTCATTGTTGTTCATTTTATGCTGGCGTTCTATTTTTTTTTTTTTTTTTTTTTTTTTATAAAATATAGGTGCGCATTTGACCTCCATCTCACCTGATGGAAAGTGACGATGAGGTCGACGATGGAGCATGCACACCTAAATAATGCCTATTCACTCTCGCCTTGAAAAGGTCCAAGTTATAACGTTCAGGGAACAAGTCAGCAGGCAGGGAATTCCACTCCATAGCCGTTCGCCATATAAATGTGGAAGCGTAACGCTTCGTGCGAATCTTTGGAATATCCACAACATAGGGGTGGAACCCAAGCCTACGCCTAGTCCCCCGGTGATGGAAAGGGGAAGGCGGAATTAAATCATGTAATTCCATCGCACACTCTCCGTGATATATCCTGTAAAATACCGATAAGCAGGCAACTTTACGGCGGTGTTCAAGGCTCTGCAGCTTCGCCTCCACTAATTCCGAGTCACCTATAAGCCTCTTGGCACGGTTGTCAATTGAATCCAAAGTGGCCAGTTGATATGTCGCAGAGCCATCCCAAAGGTGGCAGCAGTACTCCATGCACGATCGGACTTGTGCTTGGTACAGCTGGAGCAACTGTCCCGGTGTAAAGTACCGCCTCACCCTGGAAAGGATCCCAAGCTTCCTTGCTGCATTTTTGGCCGTGGATTCAATGTATCTGCCGAAGTTCAAATTGGACGACAGGTCCATTCCAAGTAGCTGGAGACAATCGGCTATCGGTATGGATATATCACGAAAAGTCGGAGTCAGCTCAAAGGGACTCCGTTTTGTGGAGAATAGACACGCCTGCGTTTTGGTAGCGTTAAATTTGACAAGATTGGCATTGCCCCAATCGGAGACTGCCTGGAGTGTCAAATCTAAACGGCTAACCATGGACTCTCGACAAGACTGGATTTCCTCTCCACTGACCCTTGCATTGGTCAAGTACCTATCTACAACTGTGCTGTCATCAGCATACGCAAAGGTACCTGGAATTAACATATCATTGATATGCAGCAGAAAGAGAGTTGCAGACAGTACGGAACCCTGAGGAACTCCGAAGGATATTTACGAAGGATCACAAGGCGCGTATGCACTAACGGGTCGTGCCAAAGCTAGTTTCGCTATGGCGTAGAGTATCGACTTCACTGAAAATCGCAATACCGTCACTTCAATCAACTTCAAAGATTTTGAAGTTATGTCTAAATTTGAAAAATCTTCGTCTAGTGACGGTGTCGTTTTTAACGTGCAAAATTTTGCCATGATGTTCTTTTTATTTAAGAGCTAGGTGGAGTAGTCGCCCCACCATCTCCGCGCTCATCAGCGCCCTGACTTTGAGTTCCTGATACGACATGACATTAACTTTTTCTTTATCTGATCTAAACAACTTCGTTTTCGTCTTCCTCTGCTTCTTTATTTCTCTATTCTAAAAGCATTCCTTAAATTTAAAAATAATAATTCTATATTATTTCAGTTTATCAGTTCTCCTCCATTTACGTTATAGGTAAATTACATAGTTATATATTTTTACTATTTTAATTTATTTATTAGATCACAGCACAAAAACAACGTCCTGGAACCCAATAGCTCAACTTTCTCAATCAATATTAGCAACAGGTTTGTATTGCTTATTGAATTGATATCGCCTCTTGTTCGCGTCCATTGTTTTGTATTGGTCCATATATCGTTTTACGTTGTTAAATTATTTCTACAAAAAATGTACAAGTTTATTCAATTGATGAGTTTTAACATAGAATTGGAAGTGTTTAATATGTGCTTTACACTTTTACATAGAAGAAAGTTTTTGGAAGACAGCGCAAAGCACATCTGTAAAGAAAGGTATTCGGTAATGTGCTATATTTTTAACCTTCGTATACCCGCGTCAAATGTTGTACAACATGTACTCACACACGGTGAGTGAGACCGTAAGTGATAGCGCGATTTTAGCACGATGATATCGTCATAAAATTAAGTTTGATGTTAACGGGAATGTGTAACATCACATGACAAACTGACACATACTCGCCTCGGCCTTAGAGAACGATCATGTACGCACACATGTGATGTATTGTACGACTGTTTGCACTTCACAGGGTTGAAGTTAGCCACGAACCATGCAGTATGATTTCCGTTTAAAAAACAAGGCAAACGATAATCGTCGGTCTGATAGACCAATGCGCGGGTACACGAAAGTTAATCAAACTTCTTCATGTCACTAGCGGCATGTAACCTCTAACTAACACAATCGTGATAACAAATAATGTATGAACTAAACTTCACAAAGATGTTATAGACTAAAATGTACTGGATTAAGCTCTCCCATTTAATAGATTTCTCCTTGCTCTGTCAAATGTTAGTGGATATTAAAATGTAAAATAGTAGTTTTGTTAATATTAAATTTACTTACTGAATAACTTAATATACCTACATTGCTTAAGTGTAACACAGAAAGAAATGAGCCATATGTAACAAAGAGGAAAACAATAAATATTATTTATTTATTTTTTAGTAGAAACCGTTAATCCTAATTTCCTTCTCCAATTGCTTTGCTCCAGGTACAGTAAACCTAGAAGAATGGGGCAAGTTTCTCCATACGAAAGAGAAGATCTATACAAACTTCGAGGAGATCCGGCAGGAGATCGAGCGGGAGACAGATCGCATGGCTGGCAGCAATAAGGGCATTTGCCCGGAACCCATAAGCTTGAAGATATACTCAACCAAAGTCGTCAATTTGACGCTTGTCGATCTGCCAGGTATTACCAAGGTAACGGAACTATCACAAATTTCTTACGTTATGCAATTTTCTTCCTTTTAGAACACCTTAATTACAATATTTTCTGGCATTTGTGCCATTGTGTACTACAAAATTCATTCCAGCTTTTGTGTGACCTGTATTCAGATGTGAGCCTCATTTAACACTTTTCATGAAGTCTTTTATTTCGTTGCTTCACGAGTCGCCTTATTGCAAACTTTTACTGAGCATTTATCCCTACAAATGTTTACTTGTTGACGTCTGGTTGTGGAGGACCCATTATGCTGTGATACATATTTCAGCTGTATCTTTGTTGTATTTATGTAGTTGATCTGAAATGACAGCTTAGTCACGACTCGCGACTGTTGTAGGTGCCAATAGGTGATCAGCCCGAAGACATTGAGAACCAAATTCGGAACCTGATCATCAAGTACATTGCCAACCCCAATTCAATAATCTTAGCTGTAACAGCGGCTAACACGGACATGGCAACTAGTGAGGCTATTAAGATGGCCAAAGAAGTCGACCCTGACGGGCGTAGGACGCTCGCCGTCGTCACTAAACTTGATCTCATGGATGCTGGTAAGTGTCGTTAATAATGAAAGTAGACTACTAACAATCAGCATCACAATTTTTTCATTCATCCCTATAAACAATTTTTTATACATCTATATTTAGGACTATGTATATTATGATGGAAATGACCCGTGTATCTAGTTAATTTGGTGTTGAATGTAAATATATACAGGAAAAAGTATTTCAATTTTACGCTTCCGGGTATGCGTTCGAAGTTATTTAAATTGAAAAATTCACTTATTGCGTTCCGGACTCATGATAATCGCTTTATTTCGAACTCAATTATTATCCTCTTTTGCCTGATAAAGGAAACGCATTCGTTACATCCGATTTGTTGTAATCTCCAATCATTGTGTACAGTTTGCAAATAAACATGATGTCATTTGTCCAAAGGCTTACAATGTGGGAATCTTCACTTTTTTGAGAGTAGATTCGGACTTAAATCTCATCAAGTCTGTAATAATGTAATTTTCCAAAAATGGAAAACAAATGGGTTTGGTTAAAATTCCCAAGCAATCACTCAATAAATGGAATAAATAAATTTTGTGTATATTTCCAAGGTTTGAACTTGATTTCACTCCTGTTTTCAACAATATTCACTTGAATAACGTTTTAACATAGTAGCTGTAATTTCTTGTCCAAGTGTAAGGTCAGTATGGATAGTATTACGGTTAGTTGTGTAAGATAAATGTCTAGTAGTTCATAATACTTGTACTACTTTACTGGTGTACTTTATGTACACCATTTTTATTCGCAAGCTAACACACTTTTTACAACTAACTGCATTAACAAAGTTTCAATTCAAATATTGATGTAAAAGGTATACTTACATTTATATACGCTTAAATCCTAAACAACAATAAAAAAAGTAGGTACGCCAGTAATTAATTGATTTCATTTTGTTTGCATCATCACTAAGTTCCTTTATTGTCTAATTTTGGTGCGTTCGTAAACTACTTACAATTTACAACAACAAATACAGTTGAATTGAAGAAAAATCTCGTCGTTCTCAAAAGTTACTCAAATTGCCATGAAAACAAAAGTTATTTACATAACTAGGACTAGGTTAAAAGTTACGAAAAATTTAAGAAATGTAACCATCTGATTTATCAACCCTTATTTTGAATAGCAACAATCGATTAAGCGACTCAATAAATTAAACTTATGCACTATTGGATGTTTTATTTATGTATTATTAATACACTCCGGGACACATAATTCGAGCCACTTTGCATTTTCTGTACTGTACTAAGTTTAAAAATGTTTTGCTTAAAAACTGTTATGTTATTTTGAAACTGGTATACAACGTATAAACGTAATTTTCATGTGTCCTTGTTGAAAATTTGAATTTGTAAATGATTTCGAAAATTTTTCTTCAATGACAATAATATGTTTATTCAAGTCCTATAACAATACAAATGCAAGGTGGCTCGAATCATGCATCCGGGAGTATATTATGTAACATTTTTTTAGATATTCACATTTTTTTAATAGTCACAGCACTGCTATTGTGACATCATAAATTAAACATTATTAATTATATTGATGTAGTATGCTTATAACAGCATAACTATCAACCGTAAGAAAGAATTGCCTTTAACTTACTTACTTTACTGTCTTTAATAGATCTAAACTTTGAAGCAAACTTGACTTTTCATAATCCATGAAATTTTTTTTATGTACTCCTACCACTTATTTTCACAACGGTCAAACTGCTGACCTCGCACATGGCGTACAGATTTTCTAATAACCTTCAAAATATCATAACTTCGTATCGAATCACATATTTCTTGTTAGTAGTCAGTATTACCGTGTCAAACCAATACACTGTATTAGCATTTTACAGCATTTTAAGAAAAAACTGCAAATAGGATAATAACATAAAAATATATTCCTAACTTTGTTCATGTGATATCAAGGAATTATATCCACCCATTATAATAGTACTTTGCAAAATAAGCTATTACCATTGGAAAAAAAATCTAGTGAAATTACAAAACACTTTACTGTCTTGCTAGTTTTGGTTTGACACGATAGAGTAGCGAAATAGCAACATAAAAATTGTTGATCCAAGCAATTCGCCATCACTAATCAGTCTATGGTCGATATTTTCCTTTTTTGGGAATCAGTTGAAGCAAACTATAGTAAATATAGATATTAATTACATAAATACAATGCATACATAATAATGTTACTACTCAAAAAAAACATGTTTTTTAGGAACTGATGCGATAGACATCCTGTGTGGCCGTGTGATTCCGGTAAAACTTGGCATCATTGGCGTAGTAAACAGATCGCAACAAGATATTATCGATAGGAAGTCTATTACGGTAAGGTATCTCGACATTGTTTTATCATTTCTTTTTAATTTCACTCAAACTCAATGTAGTGGAATAGATATTGAATACAAAAATCGAACAATTCAATGTTAACATATTGATCAAGTTTAGTGACTTTTTGTTCAGATATTGGTATCGATTCGGACAAACAAACTTAAGAAAATTTTAGTTGAGTACATGTCTCTTTTGATATCAGGAAGAAAAACCAGTAGACTAGTCTTTAAACTTAGTATGTATTTGTAGCACCACCAAAATAAGGGGACGTCGAAATGGACGGCTGAACTAAAATTAAATCTTCTGTGCCTTTTTTACTTATAACGAAAGTGGCAGATGCTCTGAACTTGGGTTTACTTTGCTTTTGCTTTAATTGATGTTACTGTACAATATTAAAACTTTAATAAGTACAGTTTTTACTTTCACTTATTGTCATATAGACAGTCTATAGTAAATATCTATATAGGACCGCTTTCAACTAGCTCTTGTATTATGAAATACCCTCTTTGTAGCATTGTCACACAAATTTATTAAATTTCCTTTTTTTACTATTATACTTTAATAGTAAAAAAAGGAAATTTAATAATGCTTCTTATATCCAGGATGCACTTAAGGACGAGGCGACATATCTACAAAGGAAGTATCCGACAATCGCAACTCGGAACGGCACGCCATACTTAGCCAAAACACTTAATAGACTTCTCATGCACCATATTAGGGATTGCTTGCCTGAACTTAAGGTAAATAACTTGCAAATATTTTTGAAATTTAAACGGTTTCAGTTTCGGTTCGCTTTTCGTAATAAGAACGAAACTGATTTCAATTTCATTCATTCAGCGTTTTTTATTGATACATAGCACAAACTGAATCTCCAATTACCTACAAGAGTGCTCTAATAAAAAAGCCCTTGAAACTATGAAACATGAGGTTTGCATCTAATTATAAATACAGAAATAAAAGTTTATTTTCGCCCACAAAAAGATAAACATTGCTTTTTACGTTTCTAGGTGCGCGTGAACGTGATGATATCTCAATTCCAATCTCTGCTCAATTCCTATGGAGAAGATGTCTCAGACAAGTCACAAACGCTCTTGCAAATCATCACGAAGTTTGCCAGCGCCTACTGTTCCACAATCGAGGGAACCGCGCGTAACATTGAAACCACTGAATTATGTGGAGGCGCCAGAATATGCTACATATTCCATGAAACCTTTGGACGCACTCTAGACTCTATACATCCGCTTGTAGGTAAGTTTATCATCAGAATATCTCAGTGTACTACGGGGAAGGCCTCTCCGCAAAATAAAAGCTGATAGAGATGTGGCCATTGGAGCAAAAAGTCCTTGAGTAAACATACACACTGGTAAACATAGTTTTAGTAAAGCTTCTTGTGAAACAGTTTGTCCATGGAAGCACTACCATTATAACTATTTCTGCCCTCAAGCAGTGATTTGTTAAACACGTTTTCTAGCAGGGTGATGTAAAACAAAAACTCTTGTATTTTTAAACGTCTACGTACCACTTTACTTTTTTTTACACAAGTGTACACTTTTGCGTCGCAACATAGACGGAGTCTCAGAAAACTCGCCCCACTTTACCATCGCCATTTTAACTGGCCTATGATTGGTCAATTCTCTGTGAATTTACCAATCATAGGCCAGTTAAAATGGCGATTTGATTGGTCGAAGTCACTGATTGATCGAAACCAGGTGCCACCACCAACACTCGATACACAAACTGTATCTTATAAAAATCAATTGAGTTACTTATATTCATTCTTTCACAATTAAACTACGGAATGAAATGCCTTAATAAATTAGTTTTATTTATACAATTTTCTCACGTATTTTACATTTTTACCATTAAGCTAACAAATGTGAGCGCTGAGCATTACTGCGTCCCGGTTTTGTATGGTGAGGGTGCTTGTTGAGTGAAATTACTAAGACGCATGGGTTTTGTTAACTTTTGTCTTTCGAATTGACGCCCTAAGTGGCACCGAAACTATTATACACCAGGACCCACGACTTATTCGTTCTGTTACTGGATGTCATAGTGAACGTATTATAGGGACCAGACGGGCCGAATTGCGTAACTCGAAAGGCAATTTAAAGTTTGCTGTGAAATCTTATGAGTGTCAAGTTTTATCAGTTTTTAAAACTCTCTACAAATTCTGCAGTTTTACTGGGCTTCATGGAATGAGAATGAATAGTATTTGATACTTCATTCTGAATTTGAGACTGGCTTCAGGTTACATGGTTAGAGGCCTGATAGAAGTTACTTTACATTGTATAATTTGGTCAGCCTGATAGACCTTGACTAATGCCTGTCTACCTACGTATATTCGATGTCTGTCGCTACGTCGTACCTCTTACATTATTGAATACCGTTGTGTTATTTACTAGTAAATGTTTGCAGGACTTACCCGCATGGATATCCTGACGGCCATCCGTAACGCCACGGGGCCTCGGCCGGCGCTGTTCGTGCCGGAGGTGTCGTTTGAGCTGCTCGTCAAGCGTCAGATTAGACGCCTCGAGGACCCCTCACTTCGTTGCGTCGAATTGGTAAGCACATCAGTGTTACGCTAAAATCATATCCACACAATGTGCCAATTAGCTTTTTCTAGCTGTCATGTACGAACACAATTATTATTTATAATTTTAATAATAATAATAACGCACACACTCAACATAGCCCCACACTAGGGAAACCCTGTGTCGCGGGTGCCATGGACACACACATAGACAACCACAAATTACACCCAAACTCACGAGAGAAATAAATGTAGGCCATACAAATATTTCTCCCGGCCCGGGAATCGAACCCGGGGACCTCTGCGTGGCAGTCCGGTATGGTAACCGTTCGGCCACGGAGGCAGTTCGCATAGAGGCATAATTAAATATTATGTGTTGCTGCAGGTGCACGAGGAAATGCAGCGGATAGTTCAGCACTGTGGCACGGAGGTGCAGCAGGAGATGCTGCGCTTCCCGCGGCTGCACCAGCGCATAGTGGACGTGGTCACGCAATTGCTGCGCACGCGCCTGCCCGCTACGAACTCAATGGTAGTACTGCTACAATATTCGAAACTTCCCCATCTTCACATAGGATTTTAATTCGAAATATCAATAATTACATTCTTTGGTGTGTCCTGTTGTGAAATAACATTATCTTCAGTGTGTATTACCATTCTGCTTTATACAAACTTTTTCCAAGGCTTGCCATCAATGCTACATCTACATATATATATATTCAATCCTTATCTAATCAAATCGTCATGCCATCAAAGCTGGAATTAGAACTCTTTGAACTGATACACGTTTTTGTATAGGTTGTACGGCATAAGTCATCTCGGAATGCAAGAAAATGCTTGAGCATTAACATTTGCATTAGAACTCTTCAGTTTCCAGATGAATCTTATTATAGTTTTCATTTTTAAATTTAAAAATGTTACCAGGTGGAGAACCTTGTAGCGATCGAGCTGGCATACATTAATACGAAACACCCAGATTTCCACCGAGAAGCGGCGTTGGTCTCCGGACTCCTCAAGAGTACAGATGGTCTTGTGGATGAGCATAGTCCTCACTATCGCCAGAAGACGCCTCGTTCGCAACCCTCACCGGTATCTACAGTATTTAAAGTATATATTGCTTCTTTTTTCTTTGACTCGTTGCATGATGAACTGGGTAACTGGTCACTAACTTTGAGGTAAGTATGACAATCGCACTTGTTTCGTAGGTTTTGAAGAAATTTACTTGGTATTTCTACTGGCTATGGATTTTTTGAGCTTGGAACAAGGGATTCCACAAAAAAATGTTATTTTTGTTGGCATTACTATAACTTTGTTGGTGTTGGCGTTAATGTTTCATTTTTTCCTTTTTTATTTACTTGAGCATGTATACATAACATCCATTAGTTCCTAATGTTCATTGGGGAATAGTAGGGTTATTTATTTTTATTGTTAATTTGGCTTTCTTGAGTAAGTAACATTTGCCGATTGTCCGTAGCTCTTTCTCCGCCAAATGGGTGAAAGAGGGTCCACGCTAATGTTCTTGGGAAATGCACTGGATTCTATATACCAGGTAACACTGTATGCAGTGTGGCTATGTCTGGATTGTCTAAAAATCATTAATCGGATCGTTCATATTAAATCATGTAACTTTGAAGATAAACTATGTTTCATTCAATATGCATTCAATAACATGTGTTTAATTTGGGCGGTACTGAAGCGTTCTTACGTTATCTTTTATTGTATCAAAAAATTTATGAAGTGGTCATAGTTCTATTGCTACGCTATGTGGGCTCTCTTTCGAAGCATTTCATAATTTTGCTACTAATTATCCATTTTCAGACCATTGCTTTTTTTGTTAGAACGATAACTGTGTAGTGTGGTGGGTATTCCTTTCAAACAGTACCATCTTTATGTATTATTGGCCACGATGCCCCTTAATCCTCGGAAACCAACGAATTTTTCAACTTGTAACACAACTCTTAAGGTGATTTTCCACCGGCGAGGCGGCTAGACTAAAAAATATCAACTTCGGTGGAAATGGTGTAGTTTGACTAGGATGGGCAAGGCGAGAATTGAAATATTTGTTGATGTAATATTGAACCGTATTGCTGCCTACATAGAGTATTATACAACGGAAACACGATTTCTCGCGCGATCTCGCGAGTGCCCGGACGGTCACGTGCGAGCTCGCGATCGTTATTAATATCAATCGCGAGAATGTGAGGTCCATACGGTCTGAGATTTAAAAAAAGACAGTTTCATCTGATTCTTCTTCCGTTAACATATTTAATAATAATAATTTACGGAACATGTTACTTCAGCCGCGTATTTATCGCTAGATGAACTGAACAGCATTGACTCTTCACTATCCACAATCGCAGCGCTATTAATGGCAAGTTTTGGTGGAAATAGTCCGGCGAGATTTCGATTCTCGTCTCGTCTTGTCTCGCCTCGCTAGTGGATAACCACCTTTAGAGTTTGGTTGGGTTAAAGTAATTCATTGGATTTATTCGGAATATCTAATTCATAAAACAATTTTTGTTAAAGCCACCATATCCAAAATATCACTTGGCTAAAGACAGCTCTGCTTTCAGCAAGTAGTTATGTAAACGACAATTGAACTGTTTCAGCATGTGCCAGCTATAACAGATGGCCACGAGAACAAGTCGCCTCCACAGTCTGGTAACAGTGAATCTCCAAGTACACCCCAGGTAATACCCATTACATTTGCTTATTTAAATTTTAGAAACCCTTCCTTTTATTGTCAGAAAATTCATTGGTTATGCCTACATAGCATGATTTTACAAATTTATGTTACGTAGTTCATACTGCATTTGCCCACTTACACCAAAGTACGGATGGTACTTCTACCAACCCATGAAAATAACTTTGATTATATTGTCGGGCGGCACAGCTTCCAAAACAATGCACAAATTTTTTAAATTTGCATTGAATTGATATTCAATAGTTTTTTTATGAAATTACTCCACTGGTGTGTTATAATTATTTATACACAAAATATTTTTCAACAGATGAACGGCTCACCAGAGAATAAAGTCCTGACCCCGCAGAAGCCGGTGAACTTGCTCCCCGAAGTGCCAAGCCAAACTTCGCGCAAGCTATCCGATCGCGAACAACACGATTGTGACGTCATTGGTATGAGTTTCGTCTTGTTCTGTGCATATATATGCCTCTCATAGATAGGCGAGACTGGTGATAATTTCAGTCTTATTGGCTTCGTTAGTACATGCATACAGCTTACGATGATGACAAGTTTGAAGTGAGCCGGTTGTCTTATTCCATAAAATTAGCATTTTGTCGTGCTCCCTAAAAGCCTGGTAATAGCGGTGACTGTTTATCGGCAGCATAGTATAATAAGTACTGTAACTCCTTAGTAACGTAGTGCGGCTTGTATTTGTGTGCGCACGCCCGCCGCGCGCTGTGTACGGACGAACACGTTCGCATAATTTCGCTGTGCACTCGAGTTGCACAGCGAGATGTGCGTATGCGCCATTCATTATACAATGTGTCCGGGCATGTAGTGCAACAATTTTAAGGGCCTTAACTATGGTAAATTTTATCGACCAAAACACGCCCATGTGAGTGTAGTGCAAAAATTTTAAGGGCGTTAACTATGGTCAATTTTATGGACAAAAACACCTCCATGTGAGGGTCGGTTCCTCACAAGACATGAGCGCCGCGCCGGCGCGCCGCCGCCGCCGCCGCCGCCGACAAATGCAATCGGCGCGCCGTTCAGTTCGGTCTACGCTCCGACCGCACGCGCACGCTTCCGTATTGTGTATGTGAAAATGGCGACGCCAGAAAATGAGTTTTCTAAGATAAAACTTATTTTTTTAATAAAATGTAAGTTCGCATTTGACCTCCATCTCACCTAATGTAAAGTGACGATGAGGTCGACAATGGATGAATGCCTATTCACTTTCGCCATGAAAAGGCCCAAGCTATAACGTTCAGGGAACAAGTTTGTAGGCAGGGAATACCCATTCATTCAGAGAATAGCCGTTTGCCATAAAAATGTGGAACCGTAACGCTTCGTGCGAATCTTTGGAATATCCACAACATACAGGTGGAACCCAAGTCTACGCCTAGTCCTCCGGTGATGGAAAGGGGAAAGCGGAATTAAATAATGTAATTCCATTGCACACTCTCCGTGATATATCCTGTAAAATTTCGATAAGCTGGCATCTTTACGGCGGTGTTCAAGGCTCTGCAGCTTCGCATCCATTAATTCCGAGTCACCTATAAGCTTCTTGGCACGGTTGTCAATTGAATCCAAGGTGGCCAGTTGGTATGTAGCAGAGCCATCCTATAGGTGGCAGCAGTACTCCATGCACGACCGGATTAGTGCTTGGTACAGCTGAAGCAACAGTCCCGGTGTGTGTTTCCCTATCTACTAGCCCGAGAGATACGGTTTTCCGGAGAGACTACGGGCTTGACGGCAAGACCGGGGTACAGCGGGCGTTCGGGCCACGCCCTCCGCCAGTGATACGCCTTTGCGGGCGTCTCTGGCGGATCCGGACTTGGGTATGGACTTGCAGGACACTGCGACTGGCATGTCCGACACTAGCCCGGAGAGCTAGTAGAGGATAAGCTAGATATCCTTCGGTCCCTCCAGTCGCTTGGGTTATTGGGAACTCGAGAGACGTCGTTTTTCGGCGTCGGGAAGTGAGCGTGGCTTACAGCTCCGCCGCCAATGAGGAGATTTGGTAGTGGACTCAGAGTCGACGGCTTAGCGGTGGCAACTGCTAGTTGTGCAATGCGCAACGGGAAGTGAGCGTGCTTACAGCTCCGGTACCTATCTGGAAAATAGGGAGGGTATTGTACGTGCACCCGGGGCGGCTCACCCGACGCACTAGCCTCTCGAAGAACCCTATAACCTGTGCGGCGGCGTACAAGTTATAGTGTCCTTCTCGTATGCCCTAAGGGAACGTAGGGAGGGTCACTATAATCAAAACTAACGTAGAAAGACATGGTGCTTGTCCCGGTGTGAAGTAACGCCTCACCCTGGAAAAGATCCCAAGGATTCTTGCTGCATGTTTGGTCATGGATTCAACGTATCTGCCGAAGTACAAATTGGACGACAGGTCCATTCCAAGTAGATGGTGACAGTCGGTTATCAGTATGGATATATCACGAAAAGTCGGAGTCAGCTCAAAGGCACTCCATTTTGTGGAGAATAGACACGCCTGCATTTAGTAGCGTTAAATTTGACAAGAGTGGCATCGCCCCAATCGGAGACTGCCTTGAGTGTCAAATCCAAACGGCTAACCATATGAACCATGAAGGTACGACAAGAGACGGTTGTTGAGTACACGTTCCATATTCTTGCAGAGTATGAAAGTGACTGAGATAGGTCTATAGTTGCTTCCCTTTTTCGGCACAGATTGCACGTTTGCAAGCTTCTACGACCTGGGAACTACACCAGTTTCAAGTGAGAGGCGGTACAGGCGTCGGCATGTGAGAACAGGAGACAAATCAGGCGCACAGTTACGTAGGACTAGTGATGGAATTCCTTCTGGCCCGCTAGCTTTATTCACGTCTAGATTTCGCAGAGTTCTAAGTACCTCTTTTTGGCGTATGCGAATTGGCGCCATAGTGCAGCCAGCCTGAGGTAAAATTAGATCCAGACGCGAACTATTTGCAAAGAGTGAGGCAAAAAGATTTGCCTTGTCTTCTGCAATGTAGGCCAGCGTGCCGTCCGGCTTCAGCAGAGGTGACATAGATAGGCGACAAAAGTTAGTTAGTGACTTTATATTTAAAGATGTTTTGTTTAAAAAATTTATTTGTCAATTTCTGGCGTCGCCATTTTCATTACGCATACACAATATGAAAGCGTGCGCGTGCGTACGATCGTAACGCCTGATCGAACTGATAAAAATTTTATATTATGGACAGGCGTGTATACTACCATGAGGCGCACGTCCTGTCACTTGATATTATAAAAAAAAAGATGAACGCCTTAATTTTTTCAAGTAATATTTACAACCTCGTGTGACAAGCCCATACTCCGAGCGAGTATAGCCTTGCCACACGGCAGGCATTGACGCGCCGAACGGGCGGGAGTTGCACTATTTGTTTTTACTATGTCTGTAATGTCCAATCAGGAATTAAAGGGATTAGTTTAAACGTTGACAGTGAATACATAATGTTATCCCCTTGTTCGGTACAGGAAAAATTCTGGATTCGACAGACACGTGATTCGGCACATTCGCCATTTGAGACTTATGGATTGGGCAGATACTTGAATTCTACAGATTAGCTATACGGCATAAGTAAAATTGTAAATAAAAGGGAAAGGTGAATTAAAATAGTAGGTATACTTTTATTACTAGTAGATACGATACATTTTAAATTACATATTGAAAAGACAAATAGAACAGAAACAAATAATAAGGGTTTTGCTTATTTTTATTACATGTTTAAAAGTAAAATAACAAATTTTTGCACAAATGTTACTCTTCATCGGGTAAATCGTAGTCGATAGAGTCCATAAAATCTTAAAATATATTTGGAATTGACTGGAAACTTTCGCTGACTAAAGTTTTACATTCGTCTATTAAGCTATCAACCGCATTTTTTGATTCCTCGGGCATGCACACAAGACTGACCTCTTTAACAATAAGATTTTCTTTATTCACTGTGACGTGAGTACTATACTTTAGTAAGTTTGAGTTCATTTCACCATTGCTGGGACCAGCGAGGTCCGTTTCTTTAATTGTATTTTATCTTATATTAATTTTATTATATTTGTACTGTATCTATTTAATATTCATAAATCCATAATTGTGACTGATAAACAAAACAATGAATTAATTTGATGTACAGGTTCAACGAGAATAACATAGTAAGTGGCCTGTTAGTTGATTGATAAGCTATCAACGAGTTTTCTATTTTACTGAAGGGGAGGAAAATGGCACTATAAGATAAAAGTGATGTGAGAATGGCAAGTTACCGTCCCTTGGTCATGGGAGTATAGGGTATAATTTTCCGTAGGTTTTGGAGGCGTCTCCTAAGTAGATAATTTTCATGTAACCTATGTTGTAAAATTCAGATATTTTGTGCACAACTGTAGTTTTTCCCTTATCCCCGAGTCTGTCGAATAGCGAATGTGCCGAATCACAAATCTGTCGAATCCAGAATTTGTCCTATATAAAACAAACGTTGTTACCAAGTCATGTCGATGATGCATCATACGTAGTACATAGGTAGCGCCTGTCCGTGAGAGGAATTCTGTAAACTATAGTTTTGAGTTTTTAACCAAATCTAATAATTGGAAAGGAGCTATCATAAATACTATAAAAACATATATTAAGTTAATGCTAATTCATTAACAGTGTACAGCTCACGAATACAAAAGTAAAAATGTTTCAATATTTGTGGTAGCCTTACTTTTAATTCACAAAATTTAGTTTTTTTATTATTTATTGGTGTTAGGTGGACGGAGCGATCACACAAACCAAAATAATAATACAAAGGTCGTTGATGATGGCATCAGCATGATGCATTTGAACGGAATGGGTGATCTAGTCGGTGAGGATACTAATAGAGCAGCGCGAATAGTGCTTTCATTCACTCACTCTTTGGTTTCCGACCACCTATCATCCGTCTGCTGGTCCGCTTGTCGCTTCGACTCTTGTATCCTAGAAAATTGCACATTTAATGTAAATACTCCTATATCTTCCTATTAACAGTTTCATGTCATATAAATAAAAAAACACCCATGTCTTGCCATTATGGATGTAGAAACAAAAGGTATTATTCTAGGTAAGTACACGAGTCACTAAAACTATGTAGTTAATTTTCGCGGTAGAGGTTGATGCAAATATCAGCATATCGGACATGAATGTTCTATGTAAATAAGTGTAACATCACTGCGATTGGTTAGCTCGAAAATGTTGCCTTTAACTATGGTGTAATAAGACAAATATGGTAACTCGATACCAACGAGTATATAACCAGAAAAGAGACCAAATTAAGGGCCTTCCGTCCATGGCAACTCATCAGGCAAATGAGCCTTATATATCTTTTAAATATCAACTCTCGTTTGTGCTGAAACCACAAATTACAAAGCTGAAATAGGCAGAGACCTGTGTGTACTAAGATAGTATCTCTTACTTGAATAATAACGCATAGAATGATAGTTTCATATCAAACGAACTGTCACAAGTGAAGCAAAAATCAAATTCATGTAGGCTAGTTTTAGTAGTAGGTTAATTTTCGGTTTTAGTGAATATTTATATAAAAATACAAGTTGAAACGCGTTACTTCCTTGTGGAATGTGATGTCAGTATCTATTTTATGTTTGTCTGACGTATTTTTACACTCATTTACCACACATTTCGTCATTTTTAGCTAAAATTCTTGATCTGTTCGCGGTGCAAGTTGACCTTGAGCACTGAAGGCCCGCCCGCTCGTGTAGGCCCTTTTGGCGTGCTTTAATTTGCCTCACTTAGCGTGTGCGGACTAGGTTTCTATGCGTTATTATTCTAAGATCTCTTGTATTCCTGTTCCGTTCGGTGGTGTGGGAAAAACAGCTAAACATGTAATTACAAAACAAACAGAAGCACATTTCATCGGTAATAAAATATTAAATGTCTAATTTTTCAATGTTCGTCCATTACAGCAAAACTCAAGTTAAACTCATGTTAAACTGGTCTATTTGAAGTGAAACAATTGACGACACCCCTCAATTGTTTCGAATTCGGGCTGGCCAATCGGGGCGCAGTTGTCACCGTAATGACTTGGCAGAATAGTTTTCAAACAAATTAAATGACATTTCGTCTCTATTTCTGGTTATATACTCGATGCTCCATATAAGCGTAGCAGCGCTGCTTGTATGTGTACATGCCCGTCGCGCGCCATGTGCGGACGCACACATTGGCATAACTTCGCAGAGCATTCGTATTGCATAGCGCGTGTCGTTTCACACGCCATTAATTACAGAATTGAAGCGTTCGCTTGTTTAAAAATGACATCAAATAGACGTGGTTATTGTAGTGTTTGTGGTTGTTTGAACAAGAGTGCCTCAAATCGATAATTGTTCAGCATTTCGTTTCTATTTACATTTCACAATCATATCCTCCTAATCGAGATGCTAATCCTCGATGCTTGTATAACATTATCAATATGTATATACTGCATTTAACAAAAATATTTCAACAAAGCAAGAAAGTATTGTGATGAACACCTATATTTTTTTCAAATTATGTTTGCAACCTGGACAATTAAAATAATAATGTGACAACTCTGCGCTCCGTGCGAAGTGTAGGTATTTACGCGTCGAGCGGGCGGGAGTTACCTTATTTGTCTTATATGCTTTAACTCTCTATTGCACGACTTACCTTTACCATTACAATTGTTTTTTTTACTCCTAAACTTCAAACTCAAAAAACAGATATTATGTTTTGTTAGTATGAGGATCCATATACATGCCCGACACACCGATATTTAGGTCACATGGTAATAGTATAAGCTGCTTTTTATGTGTAATAGTCTCCTTCATTATCATTATTATTGTGGAATTGAAAAGGGTATACTTACACCATTTTTTAATCGTGTCGCACATTCAGCGTCAACTTTTGATCAATATACTTAAAATAATAATTATGTTGCATGTGCATGCTGTATGTTGGGCTTTTTTAAGACGTAGGTTGATTACTGTCCGTTACAGAAGGCTAATTTTCATTAGTTGGTATGAAATGCACGGCATTGCACGTGCACTGGATTAGGCACTGGCTGCACAGCGGCAGTCTGTTGATCAATTGATCGTTTTCATTAGCCGCTAACAGAGACAGGCAAGTCATCAGCTAATAAATATGAGCCATTACGAGTAAACACTTACCAAAACAGATAAATAGAATTTTTCAAATATGTTTGTCACGAGTTATACAATGAATAAAACTTATGAGTTGTACGCTGTGGTTAAGATATACAAAATGGTTCACATGACGTTTTGTACAGAGTCCAAAACTATCTATACAAGATTATTTATAAAGCTCAGGCCACACAGAGGCGGTACAGCGGGAAAAGCGGTCCGGGGTTAAACCTGCGGAAAGCGAATGCATACTGGGACGTACCACACAGCCGTCTCAAGCGTAGTTCGTGGCGGAATAGCGAAGCTAAGGCGGCCAGTGTGACAAAAAAAGCAGCCACGTTTCATTTACTACACAGATTTTATCGCTGTCGAATAAAGATCAAGAAAAATTTCTTTTTTTATTAGCGCTACGGAAGCAACGCAAAGGAAAAATCGGTCGAATTCATATTGATACTTAATAAAAACACACTCAAAAGTTGTAAAAAAATACAACGTCCTAGCCCGCCAAAGTCAATGCAGTGCGATGCGCGCTGGGAAACAGACGTGCTCCACTACGCAGTGAGAATTATTATTATAATTCGAGTTTCGCGCGGCGCATAATCCGCGGCGCGTAATTGACAATAGGTTCCCAACAACTCATAGCCAAATAAGCCTTATGGCGGTTATCCAACACGCCATAGGTGGTATGGTCAGCATTATGCAGATCTGCAAATCGAACTCCAATGAGGATAAGATTTGCAGTGGCAAAGTACTGCTGTTTCGAAGCCTCGGCAAAGTCGAGCAGATGCCATCTCCTCGAAGGGATGGAGGCTTGAAGAGTGTTCTGGATATAATATCACTCTTGTAGGGGACCGACCTGGACGACGTGCCTACATTCGTGGCGAAGAAGCTGCACAAACTGCCCCCGTCACGTTCGACTACGTCGATGTCACCAGGCTGCTCAAGTCGCTTCCCTTCCCTGAAGTCGAGGGGAAAAAACTTGTGTGCCTATTTCTGAAGTTGCATAACCACAGAGGCAGTCGGACCGGTGCGACGAGAACGGCTTTACTAAGGTGGAAACGAGAAAGACGGAACCAACCAGCCTAACCTGTGTGGCTCAGGACCGACAGAATTGAGCTTTCTGCTGCGTTCAGTCATACCCACGACGCTGCTGCACCTGTTGCGATTGCATTACTCCACGACGCCCAAGGATATAGTGGAGTACATCAGGCTAAAAGCCAAGTACACCATGAGGGTCGAGCTGTCAGCGTCCCCGCCACAACGTGAATTTTAATTCGTTTGTGGTGCTAGTGCTGTTTTGGCGGAAGGGTGTATACCGGCGATTCCGCGGTTGGTTACCTGACACCAGATTGCGCCACACATCGCCGGGAAATGTAATTCGTGTAGATTAGATATTTCGTTTTTATATTATATCATGTATGTTAGTCCTTAAGTTATTATATATTATAAGGGTCATAAGTTGCCTGATTCAAATAAATGAAAAAAATAAAAATAAAGCCCCGCTCCCGGATCACGCTCCGCTGCTAACACTCTGTGTTGTACTACCACACGGCGGTTGCATTGAACTCGGTGAAATACAACTGCTCGCACCTGCCAAGCGCCCAACTCGCACCTGGTCCGCCTGTTTGTCATAGCGATCGGTCCCGGACCGTGCCCAGTCCGCGCCCAGTCCGCCACCGGTTTCAATGTGGCAGGGTTCATTACAAAAATTCTCGCACCCGAAACGTTCCCGCTCCCGTCTCTGTGTGGCCAAGGCATTAAATACTAACAACCTCGTAGGACTATATTACCAATATAATAAACAACAACTTTTGTTCCATGTCTTTTAAAAAATCGTCACATTTTAATTGAATAAAAAAAAGAATTACTCCACTAGTTTGCTATATTTATTAATACAAAGATCGAACACTCAGAAAAAATTCCTTCGATCCGGCCGGAATCGAACCGACGTCTTCTAGTTTATTGTGACAGACGCTATACCGACTAAGCCACGGAACGAACCAGCACACCTCATGAATTTTTCTATGTGCATGCGTCGTATCTTTGATATTCAATTATTTTTTGTGAAATACTCCACTAGTTTGTTATATTTATTAATACAAAGATCGAACACTCAGAAAAAATGGTATAGCGTCTGGCACTGTAAGCTAGAAGACGGTTCGAATCCGGCCGGATCGAAGGATTTTTTCTGAGTGTTCGATCTTTGTATTAATAAATATAACAAATTAGTGGAGTAATTACCCAAAAAATAATTGAATATCAATTCAATAAAAATTAAAAAAAAAGAAAATAAATAATGGTGATAACTCTGCGCACAACGCAAGAGCGCGGGTAGGGTTCGTCGGAGGATGCTTGCACGTTTGAATTTGCTACATTTTTTTCAAATACACATCTAAAAATATCAGATAACAAAAATTTTACATGCACAATAAACTTGGGACATTTATTATGTTTTGTAAAAAGCCATTTTAT